GGAACTGCCGCGTCTGTACTAAAATAAAATAAGCGAGGAACGTCAAGATCCGGGACTTGGGGACTTGATAAACCTATTAAAAAAAATATATATATATATACGTACGTGCATCACTCCCAAGGTTCATTCGATAGTTAACACCCCTTTCGTGATGGAATAGATGGAATCATTCATTTTCAATCGGTGCGACGTTTTTTTCTTTTTTCTTTTTTTTTTCTTTTTCAATTAAATAAAGTGGTAGTTGTTGAGATATTCGTAGTCAACGAGTAAATTTAAACTATTGAGAACAGTTTTCACCTATATATATTTTCATTACATTTTCATGCATGAATTACATCACCAGGAATAAATGCATTTTTAATTTTTAATTTTTTTTTTTTTTAAAATTTACCTGTGTAGAAGCAACGTATTCTGCGCATACAGATTTTTAATTTATTGATATTTATATTTATATGGATAGTTGTTGTTTGATAAGGGGTATACCGTTACTGTCCCGCCTTGCGCCAGGTCGGGATTTCTTACATATTAGATTCAAGGTAACCGACGATTAGGTATTTATTTACCTAAGGAAAGGCACGGACCTAGGTACGGTATCGGTATGCAAGAAAAGAAATGATGAAGAGCGATGGTAATATAACATGATAAAAAAAAAAAAAATAGAAGCTGGGCCGAGCTACCTATCTACCTAGGTAGGGATAGGTAGGTAGGTAGACAAAATCATCGACATCTCGCCGTGGTAATTAATAACAATGTCTTTTTTAGAGCTTTAAATGGGATACCTATAAAAAAAAACCGGGGGGCGGGGGCGGGGGATTCGGCAATCAATCTAGAGTTACCTACCTACCTACCTACTTGGTTGGTATGTCAATCAATTCCTTTGTGCCAAATTTGAGACCGGAAGGTACCTACGTAGTGGTATTCCTTCCGTCAAGCCCACGCCAGCCAGCGCACGCCAGCCAGCCTCCAGGCTCTGAATTTAGCATCAGATACGGTAAGCAACCTGATCGTGGTGTGTCAATGCTTGGCCCGCTCTCTGCGTCACGGCATTGCTGCTTGGGTGATAACCAAGAATCCTTCGTCCTCTTTCTCTGTTCTGTTTGTGCGAATACCGGTCCCTAGGTGGGGTAGGATGGAGTGGGATGGGATAATGCGAAGACTCATCATCTTCTGAGTCACTCATCACCTGTCCCGTGGCCGGCGGGGATTTCTTAGCGCATTTTGCCTTCTTCAGTTCTACTTCACGCGCGATATGATTCATTCCCCCGTGGCAAAGTTTTAAGGTATCTGGCGCAGTATTACTGTAAGCTCGGGTCACGGGCCAGCTGGCTTTCGAGCGTCTCGTGATGATGGGGTCTACGTTGATTTTCCCCCTCTTCCCCTCTTCTCGTCAAGCCTTCAGCTGTCATAAGGGAGTACGAAGGCGCATATGGTTGTCTTTCATCCAGACTGGGAGATGAATACGAGGGCTGGTAAATCTGTCCAGGGACATGTTTGGCTCTGCACAGCGGGAGCCAGAGCGCCGTATCACTCACTCTGTCTGACGCTCTGCAGCCTGGTGCGAAGGCGAAGGGAGTGAGAGGACAGGCGCGAGAGAAGTCTGCGCGCGGCAAGGACGTATGATCGATTCTTGACTCATCGAAGGATGTGCTAGCTAGCTTTCGGGGTCTCGTTGTTGGCCTTGCTTGAGCTTGCGGAGGCAGGGGGGAGAGGAGCGCCAACGAGGTGCCCGGTCCGGTCAGCTCTGGCAGGCAGGAAAGCAGGAAAGCAGGAAAGCAGGAAAGGAGGAGAGAAGAGGCATGTAGGTATCATGGCCTCGATCACCGGGACTCTAGCTGGGGACGGGGGGTAATATATATATATATATATATATATATATAGTATTGTTTTTTTTTTCTTCTTTCTTTTTTTTTTCTTTCTTTCTTTTCCTTATATATATATATATATTTTTGGAGTGCCGCATCGTCTCGACATCCGTCTGCAGACTGTACCGAGTAGGGATTGCGTGCTGAATGGTATGCATCGTGATGCTGATGTTGCTGTTCACGAAACCAATCATCGTGCGTGAGCATCATCTTGGAGCGGGGGAAAAGGATCTCCAGGCCGGCCATTGGTCGTGCGTGACCAGGGAGGAGCCATACAGGCACTCGCTCAACAATCCGTCAGAATGAGATCAGAGAATGATGGAGGGCTGGCTATCTCCCTACGGTACCGGTACCGTATCTGTCCTGTTGTTGGGGAGTCGATGGTCTCTTTCTTTTGACTTTATTGCCCGCCGTTTCGCATCGTGTCGTACCGTACAGAGTGTCGCATGCAAAGTCTAGAGTAGCAAGGTATCAGGCATCAGTTATCAGTCAGTCTCGTGATTCCCCGGATGAGAAGGCTGACTCGATCCTGCAGAGGGGGCTGGGTTGAGGTCCGGAGCTGTGTGCTTGAAACTGGCGATGACACGGAAGTCTTTGGAGCCCGGCGGCGGATAGATGGTAGGTGGGCACGAAGGTTACAGTAGATAGATGATGCCGTACCGTACAGCGGTGGATCCATCCGCCACGTGACTCACTCAGGAAGGAATCATGTGGAAGTCATTATTACAGTAAAAATGAATGAGCCCATGATCAACCACGTCAAACCGCATCATCGCTTCGGGTCTTGCAACCGGCATTCTGCGGGCTGCTCTTTCGTTTAGCCGTCGGCGATGCGAGCACGTAAGATTAGTTGTTCGGCCTCGACCTCGACCTCGACCTCGACCTCGAGCGCTGCCGTCGTCGCACAGCACGGTACCCGGCCCATACCCGAGCTGCATGAAACGTATGGTACACCAGCATCACGAGAGACAAGAGATGTGGAATAGGGGGAGGGGGTAGGTCGTCGGTATTCCCGTCGCGTCGGCTTGAGGCTTGGAGGCCAGGCAGAACGATGAAATCATTTTACCATCGGATTCGGAGTGGGGAATCGGGGGGGGGGGGGGAGAAAGAAAGAATTGTATGTAGAGAGGAGTCGATAGAGGCGAGGCAAAATGCGATGTGATGTGGGCGATGATGGTGACGGTGACGGTGACGGCGATGACTGTGGGTATATCGTCAAGTGTGTATGGTCAAGCGTGTAATGGTCAAGTGTGTAATGGTCAAGTGGGTTGATAGGTTACCATGGCGAGAGCGGTGGTGGTTGGGACGTGGCCGGGAGGCGGGGAGGCGGGAGGCGGGACAAGATGGCATCATATCATTCATTCATTCTAGGTACCGGTATTCCATTGCATTCCATTCATGGATTGATTGTCATGGGCCGATAGGGAGGTAGGTATGAAAAGGACAACTTTCCCTTTTGACTGTACCACGCCTCCGCCTCCGCCTCGTCTCGCCTCACCTCGCCTCCCAGCGCGAGATCAGAGGGGCGAACATGAGAGAGTACCGGTCCGGTACGGAGGAGCATTGTCAATACGGTAGAGTGGCGAAGACGCTCAACTTTGTTGACCACCCAGCCAGCATCAGGATTCCGGACTCGACCCAACTCGACCAGACTCGACCGGGCTAGACCGATTGAGGGGAAAGGGGGAAGGGGGGGGGGGGGGGGGGCGGGGGCTGTGGGAGTGCCTGGTGGGTCGCCGTCTGGAGCCAGGCCACCATGCTTTAGCCGCTGAGTACCTACTACCGTACCGTCCTAGATTGGAGCCAAGTGGAGCCGAGTGGAGCCAAGTGGAGCCAAATGGAGTGGGGCCTGTGACTCTTGTGGCTAGGCTAGCAGACATGGCCATTTTCTCTTTGCAGCTCACAAAAAGGTGAAGGTGAGCCCTCGCCCTCTCAGGCTTTCTTTTTTTGGATCTGATCTGATCTGTCTACTGTATCAATCCACTGCCATCATGTACCCATACGATTCCAAACAATAGAAGCGGCTATTTTGCCTGCAACTCGACTACCAAACCAAAACCCCAACTCCAACTCCAAATCCACTCCACTCCACTCCACTCCACTCCACTCCACTCCCAAACTTCGACCTCCCCTCTCCCCTCCTCCCCCTTTTCGATCCTCTTCTTTTTGTTGTTGTCTACTGCACGAAAGAGACAAGACAAAAGCTGCGAAGCTGAAGCTGAAGCTGAAGCTGAATCGATTAGTTAAAGTTGAGGTCGAGCTGAACTCGAAGTCGCCCCTCCGCTGCTTTGTCTGTCCCGCCCCTCCGATTCGGAATCTGCGACAGTCATATCGCCGCCACCGCCGCCGTCGCCTCCCTTCCTTCTAATAATTCACCATCAAATCCTCTTCTACCCGCCACTCTTCCTGGCTGGGAAGTTTCTTTGTTTTTTTTTTATTTCACTTCCTTTGATACCCCATGGGCGAAAGTCGGTAGGACCAGTCAGTCACAGTCACTCGCAGCTCGACATCCAGGTACTACTACCACCACCACCACTACCACCATCACCTCTCTGACTCTTCAGTCGCCTGCGTACCTGCCTGCCTGCTTGCTTGCCTGCCTGCCTGCCTGCTCTACTTTATCGGCACCTTTGTCCTCCGCAAACAACTCCCCACTCGGTCTTACCGGTGACCTTCCAATTAATACTTTGACCTCCCCCCCGACCGCCTCAAACAATCCATCCCCAAATTCTGCCAGCAAAGTACCTCCGGCGTCAACTCAGTCGACTCACCCTCACACACCTTCCTCATGGTAGCTAGTATTCCCAACTAGCCCACCGTTTACCTCCATACCCACCACTTTCACCGTCGGAGATTCACAATGCTCCTCGTGGTCCTCGGATTTTCCCCAGTCGCCAGTCTCACATCGTCTACCGGTATCCTCGTTGAAGAGAACCTCGAGCTCTCTTCTCTCTGTTAGCTTCTTCCTCCTCCTCGATCATCTCGCTCTGCAACGGCAGCACGCTGTTGTTTGGGCCTGAATCTTGTCAGAAGGTTTCACGGCTTCCAGTTACATAACGGTTTATCGGTTGGGCTTTGCACAGACGGCGGCTGGAGTCTTTTTCAATAAATCCTCCATCCCCCTCAAACTCCTCAAAAATGTATTGCAGCGAAGATGATTCTCCGCCGTACGTCAACTCATATCAAAACGGCAGATACAGCTCCTCCTCGATAGCCTCCGCCTCTGCCTCTGCCTCTGCCTCCTCCTCCTCCTCTTCTTCTTCCGCCTCGGTGTGGTGGTCCGACGCCTCCTCCCAATCTTCCGACGATTCCTCAGTCACCGGCGCGTCTTCCGACAATGAGATTTCAGAAACATACTGCTGGACGAGCCAGCTCGCACCCTCCCTGACGACCACGAGTGAACAGCCTCCCGTCGCATACTGGCCAAATAAGTTACATGTGGTTGAAGCTGCGCCAGAGCCTCGGCACCCTAGAAGGACGAGCGGTGGAGCAGGTACCCGATCAGGTTGCCCGCCTTCACTAGTCCGCCAATGCGATCGAAAGATCAATTTTGTTGACGGCCTTGTCGGTAAGATATGACGTTCCTCACAAAATAAGCTCTCCTGCTCAATACTCCCTCCCCAGATTCATCGGCCCAGATTGTCGAAGCCATCTGGCCCCTGTCCTCGGTCGTGTGCCGAGGCGAGGTGGGAAGTAAGGGCGTTCTGCCTTTACGGACATTCATTCAAGAGACCCTCCGACGATCACGGACCAGTTACTCGACCTTGCAGGTCGCCTTGTACTACCTGATCTTGATCAAGCCACACGTGCCCAAGCATGATTTTACGATGGAACAGCCCGACGATGCACACTCGGTCAGAGCACTTCAATGTGGACGGCGCATGTTCTTGTCGGCTCTCATCTTAGCTTCCAAATACCTCCAAGATCGCAACTACTCAGCCCGCGCGTGGAGCAAGATTTCCGGACTGAACACCTTGGAGATCAACCAAAACGAGATGGCCTTCCTCTTGGCTGTCAAGTGGGAGCTCCACATCACGGATTCCGTTTTTCGACGATGGACCGAGATTGTTCTTGGCAACAGCCCAACTCAGCCACCCTCCCCAGGCTCGGCACCTTCCCGCCTGGCGGAGCAGGACTGGAAATCGGTTATTCTTAGGCTCACTCCTGAATTGGATAACATCGAGGGTCTGACGCCGCGGACCTCTCCCCAGGTCTACCAAAAACGCATCGGCGTGACCTCTTCGCCACGGTCTTTCGCACCTCTGATTGCCGACCGCAGCACGTTTGGATATGGTAGCAACGAATCAACTCCTACCCAAAAATGCTATGCCCCTAGTGTCCTGGAGCCGTCGCCTTCCACCGTCTACCCAGCCAGCAAACCCGCGCCGGCTCTTGGTCTGCTCCCCACTCCAAGACTGACGCCGCAAAGCACTGGATTCAACACTCCTGCAGTGAGTGCTGCATCTTACATGCTTGGCAAGTCATCCATGGGATATGCAATGGCACAGGCTTCGAACATCGGCGTTGCTCGGGTCGCGGACAGGTGGCAACCACATGTGTCATCCTCCTCGCCTCGACCAAGCACACTTCGTCGATCATCACTAGCCAATTCAGTTTCGTCCATGTCGTCGCCAGAGTCCATGGTCTCGGATTCCTCGTCCCGATCCTCTCGTTCGTCTTCCATCTCCTCTGCCTCGTTTATGATGTGCGCGCCTACCTCGTCTAAACTGGACGTCCAGGCGCGCTGTCGCTACGCGAAGCTCTGCAGTGAGAAGCAGAACAGATCCGGTATCGCCACGGTGCCCGAGTACTGCGACAATGGTCCCACCTCGTCACCAGAGTCATACACCGGACCGGTGAGCAAGGAATTCCTGGACCTCTCTCTGGGCACACCACTGGCTCGGCAAGCTGATTTGGAGGTGTACTCGAAGGATCAAGCTGCACGTGCTCTCCAAGAGCTCCACAACCACCCACGCTCGTCTGCCTCCCCCATCCGAGCCGGTGAGAAGCGCAGTCGTCCACAATCGATCGACAACTCTCTGCAAGAGAACGTCAGAGAGATGTTGAGCGGTCGCTATCAGCCCTCGCAAAGCAACTCTTCTGACAGACATGCCCGTACTCGCTCGATCCATGTCGCAGCCGCCAGCCCGCAAGTCGCTGTCCGATCTACGTACCCTCCGTCCCTCGGACGCAAGAGAATCTGCTGCGCCACCGAAGCAGCTAACGGGCTACAACGACACCCTGGACACCCTGTCTTCGGAGGGCTCGGTGGCCCAGGGATGTGGCAACACATTCTGAATTAATTACCATGCGCCGTCTCCTGACGTATAAATACATCATTCGTTGTCACATTACATTTTCTTCTGATTCAAAATTGCGCTCTCCTCGAAACCCTCCTGTCCCACCCCGAAAACTATCAGGGGGCTCTTGCATACTGGGCACGTGCGACATGTTTTCAAAGGCGCGCAAAACCTGCTCGGCGGACTCCAATTTCCAACTCTGCGTATTCAATTGGGTATAGATGGAGGAGAGCGTCTTCGTCACGTACCTGCTTTCAGTCTTCTGCGTCGCAAAAGATTCCTCTGGTGTCTCGACACCTTGTAAGTTAGTGGGAAAGAGAGAGAAAGCTGTGGCAGCCATGGTGGTGCTTTTGCGTGAACCGCCTACCTCTGGGCATGGGCTAACGACGGGTGATTGGGATTGAATGGGTCCAGGGGAGGACAGGAATCGGGTCTGATCATGGTCATTTTTGCTCGGAGTTTACATGGTGGAATGGCGCGCCGGGGGCTGGGAAATAGTCAATGGACTGAGCTGGACGGGGGTAATATTGCGGCTCGGATGAAGGATGCCACGGCTCAGCCGGCAGATGCGCGTCACTAGTACAAAAGAAAAGCTTTGGTACTTTAATGCAAAGATATCGATAGAATGATTCTTATTATGTCGTGACTGTGATCTTGTCTTGAGGCCAATTCGGGGGGGGGGGAATATGAAAAAGGGATTGAATACTAAAATTACACGTACCTTGGGGTTGTTGTGCTTCTCGAAACAGAGATATAGATTAAACGGTGGGGGGCTTGAGGAGGTGAGGGGGTGAGGGGGTGAAGAGGCGTGCTCTCTCAAGTCGTCAAGAAGACAAACAATCTTGATGTTCAAGAATTTTGGACAGAGTA